ATGAGAAAGGGGTTATTGATATGAAAAACCCCACTAAAATAACATAAAGGATCCCATAAAATAAAAATGGCTTTAGAGGGATTACGAGACCATGGAGGTTATGGAATTTCCTTTATTGGTCTAGATATAGGTAAAAAGTGTTGGGGTTGTCTTATTTTTCAACTATTAGCTAGATAAGGTTTTAGTTTAATGATGGTTGTGGTCCCTCCTTTAAGTTAAGGTAGGTGTTACATACAAAAGGGTTATTTTCTATGCAAGGATTTAAGAGAATTGAGAAGGAAATTTGCTCTTTTTCTTGTTGAAGAGTGAAAAAAGAGAGGTTGAGAGAAAGAAGGTATTTTTAGTATAAGAGTGAGTTTCTCTTATTTTTGTTCTTCATGTTGAGAGAGAAAAGGAAGAACATGTGTACAAGGGTTTGGGTCGGTTAAGTTACAATTCACAAAATACTTGTATTGTTTCTCATTTTCTTTCATAGTGAAGAGTGGTTTTTTGTTTCTCCCTTGGACATAGGTAGTAAGACTGAACAACGTAAATCCTTTGTGTTTTTAGTAGTGCTTTCTTTTCTTGTCTTTACTTTGAATTTTTTTATTTTTAGTGCTATTGGATTCCCTTGGTTATTATTTCATTTCGAATACATTGTGGTTTTATCTTATGGGTGGTTGTTGTGAGTCCTAAAAAAATGGTTAGAACTCCTAGGTTGGTATTTACAAGGTATTTGTAACGGCAGCAAAAGGTATGAGTTCTCAATTCCATATTAAAATGGTTTGATGACAAATGTAGTTGGCAAAGAAGAATGAAGGATATCCTAGCTAAACAAGGCTTATTAAAATGTTGAAGGGAAATTATGGAAAGTCGATTGGGAGAAATTTAGTTAAAGTGTGTGAGTACAATTCAAATGCTACTCTCATTACTTATAAAGTTATGTTTAACATTATGGACAGAGATTCTGCACTAGAGTTGTGGGAGAAATTGGAGAAACTTTATTATGGGAAAAGTTTAACTACAAAGTTATATCTGAAACGACAATTATAAGGGTTAAAGATGGAAGATGGTGAAAATATCTTGGAACACCTAACTGTGTTCAACAGTATATTGGATCAACTAAAGAAATTTTATGTCAAGGTAGATGAAGAAGACAAGGCCATTTCACTACTTACCTCACTCCCTAATTTATATGAAAACTTGATGACAACCTTATTATACAGGCAAGGCATAATGAAGTTGGAAAGAGTCACCACATCTCTTCTATCTAATGAGGTTAGGACGAAATCCAAATATGAAAATGGGCAGGATTCAATAATAATTATGCATGGAACGGATAAAAAATAAAATCATCTAACAAGAGATTTGAGAGCGGTATGTATAAATCCAAGGTTAGGGAAAAGGGCAAGGTATAATATTATAGATGCAAGGAGTTTGGTCACACGAAGAGATATAAAATGAGTGAAAATGAATCTGGAGGAGTGGCGATTGCATTGGATGATAGTGGAAACATTCTCATAGTTTTTGAAACTTAAAACTATGTGCATTTCTTGTCCAAATGAATGGTTTTTAGATTTTGAATGTTCTTTGCATGTTTGCTCCAAGGATTTAAGACGGGTGTTACCCTTATAGGTAAGTCTACTTGTGACATCATAGGTGTTGGAATGATGACAATAAAAATATTTAATGGAGTGATTCACACTTTAGGTGGTGTGGCATATGTCCTAAAAATGAGTTGTAATTTAATATCATTTTCTACAGGTGAAGTCATGAAAAGTACACATGGAAGTATGGTCTTGATGAAAGGAGAAAAATGTAAGGGCTTGATGAGGGCAGATTTGGCCCTCTAGTGAAATTGCGACACGTGGCACCTCGTGACAAGTAGGCAAACACCCAGTCAACAACTTACCAAGTTGGTGTCCCCCCCCGGGCACCGGTCTGGCTGGCCTGGCGCGACCTGCACGCGGCCTGGCGTAGCCCGCGCGACCTACGCGGCCTGTGCGACCTGGCCGGATCAGCTTGCCACAGGCGCCGACCTGGC